ATTTTGAATATAAAATACTGCTCATCCACATGCAGCCACTAATTTATATGATGTAATATGCAACGTGTTCCACCACCTGTCTGATATCGTCTGCTCTTCTCCTCTGTATGTGATCTAGATCTATCACAAGGGCTTATTATCGTAATTCAGTGGGTGGCCTTTTGCTTTTCGACATCACCAACCGCCGCTCCTTCCAGAATGTCCACGAGTGGCTGGAGGAAGCGCGCAGTCACGTGCAGCCGCACAGCATTGTCTTCATACTGGTCGGCCACAAGTGTGACCTGGAGCAGCAGCGGCAGGTGAGCCAGCAGGAGGCCGAGAAACTGGCAGCCGCTTACGGCATGCGCTACGTGGAGACCTCGGCCCGCGACGCCATAAATGTAGAGAGGGCCTTCACGGAGCTTACGCGCGATGTCTACGATCTAGTCAAAAGTGGTGACATCACCATCCAGGAGGGCTGGGAGGGGGTTAACCTCACATGCAATCTTGTTCCCAATCTGGATATTTTTAGACTTCAAACTTTCAATAGGCCTACTTTTCTTTATTTAAACCTAATTTTTCAATAGAGTTTCGTATTAGAAATTTTAGATCTAGATCTGGTCTCAGTGGAAGATTATAAAGATAAATTTAATAATAAATAATAAATTAAAAACATTCCAATGATAGAAGAAGTGTGTCATTGTAGATATGGATCGCATTAAATAAATTAAAAGATAGGACAAAAAAAGAGCATCATATCAGTCTCTACCTCACATCAGTCTCTATTAGTCTCTACATCTACATCAGATTTCATAAACTATTTCAAACTGGTCACTAATTTCCTGGATTTCAGGCTGTAACCATTTTCTGGTTATAGCTTTCTTATAAGCTATTATCATCAGTTCCCTTCAAGTATTTACATGCTAGTTTAATGTAATTTAATACAAATTAATTCATCATTTTGAATATAAAATACTGCTCATCCACATGCAGCCACTAATTTATATGATGTAATATGCAACGTGTTCCACCACCTGTCTGATATCGTCTGCTCTTCTCCTCTGTATGTGATCTAGATCTATCACAAGGGCTTATTATCGTAATTCAGTGGGTGGCCTTTTGCTTTTCGACATCACCAACCGCCGCTCCTTCCAGAATGTCCACGAGTGGCTGGAGGAAGCGCGCAGTCACGTGCAGCCGCACAGCATTGTCTTCATACTGGTCGGCCACAAGTGTGACCTGGAGCAGCAGCGGCAGGTGAGCCAGCAGGAGGCCGAGAAACTGGCAGCCGCTTACGGCATGCGCTACGTGGAGACCTCGGCCCGCGACGCCATAAATGTAGAGAGGGCCTTCACGGAGCTTACGCGCGATGTCTACGATCTAGTCAAAAGTGGTGACATCACCATCCAGGAGGGCTGGGAGGGT